TCCATTTCCAGTGGGGGGGGGGTCTGGAACCATTGAAAAAACACATATGGAACCCGGACCCCCCCCAACCCGAAATTCGCGTCTTCGGGTCGGGTTGGGGTGGTCTGGTAGGTAGTCACGGGGGGGGGGGCCGTCGACCTCCGATCGCCCGCTCATCGACGGCAGGCCGACCGCTGTGGCCCGCTCCGCCCAGCGCCTCCCCCGCGTGCCCGCGGGCCCGCCGAGCGGTAGCGGAGCGGGCAGGCCGCGCGTGGGGAGCGGGGCCCAGGCCGCCGCGCGTGTGCAGCAGCGGGCCTCCCCCGTGTCCGCCACTGCTCTCCCCTCCTTCAGGAGGGGAACAAACACACAGACACAATTATTCGTCGATTCCCCGAAAATATGGGCAAATATGGGAAGTGGGGGGGAAGACAAAAACCCGGAAAATATGGGAAACTATGGGGGATATTGTTATTTGTGTGTATTTATTTGTGTGTCCCAGTTCCCCTTCACTCCTGCCCGCTCCCCGCTGCCCTCTCCCGCCTCGCGGTTTCCACAGCAGCTCGGGACGAATGCCCAGTCTCCTCCCGCGCCGCCAAGTCCGCACAGACTTGCTTCTGCCCTGGGTGCGCCCGCTATGGTCGGAAGGAGTGCGTGCGTGTCTGTACGTGTTTCCAAGTCGGAGGTATGTGTATCCTCTGGATTGCAGGATGACAAGTTAAAGATGTTGGCAAAGCTCTTAGAGCTCCTTTCTGCCCAGGAAGCGCTCACGGCGAGACAACAGACACGCCAGCCATTTACAACAAATGGAACAACAAGTGGAGCAATCAGCACGCTCTCCCGCGCAACAAATATGACTACTCGACGCTGATCTCCCCATATGCGCATATCATTTCCTGGCAAGTCCTGCTGTGAGTGTCTTGGTGTGAGCGTCTGGGTGTGAGAGCGAGTCCGAGTGCACGACGGGTGCGACGACGACGACGGCGGCGGCTACAATGAGGGACAGCAGCAACGTCAAAAACAGCAACTCACACACAGGCGGTGACCAGGTCCCTCCCCTCTCCGTCCTCTTCTTCGTCGCACCTCTTCCCTGCTCTTCTTCCTTCTTCCTTGTCCTCCTGGGTCCGCCTCCTTCCTTCTCCGTTTTCTCTCATCCTCCCTGGCGGCCGTCTTTCTCACTCCTCCGGGTCCAGAACGCTGTCGATTTGGAGCCGGGAATTGTCGGGCCGGGGGTTCCAAGAACAAAGGCCCCAAGGGGCCAGGGTGTCGGCGGGGGTGTCCAGAACGTGGTCGATTTGGAGCCCGGAGTGGTCGGGTCGGGAGTTCCAGAAACAGACGCCCCGTGGAGCCAGGGTGTCGGCGGGGGGTCTGGGGCATCGCTGATTCGGAGCCGGGAGTTGTCGGGTCGGGGGTCCGAACGCCAGAGGCCCCATTGGGCCAGGGTGTCGGCGGGGGTGTCTAGAACGTGGGCGATTTGGAATCAGGTGTTGTCGGGTCGGGGGTCCCAGAAACAGACGCCCCTGGGAACCAGGGCGTCGGCGAGGTGTCTTGGGCATTGTCGATTTGGAATTATTAGGAATCATTGGGTCGGGGGTCTCAAGAACAGAGGCCCCAGGGGGTCAGGGTGTCGGCGCGGGGGTCGCCCCCTCCTCCACAGTCTGGTCAGTGTCCCCCTTCTTCTCACTCTCCTCCTCCTCCTCCTCCTCCTCCTCCTTCTCCTCCTCCTCCTCCTCAGCCCTTTTGCCGAGTAATCTCTCCCATGCTGGCCCGCCCCCCTTCTTCCCCCCCCCCCCCCTGGGGCGAGGCCCGTGAGGAGCAGCAGAAGTACGTGCTCGAGATTGCGCAGGACCGTGGGGAGATGGCTCAGGCGGCGCGGGAGGAGGAGGATGAGGCAGCCAGGTGCGGGCACTAGTCGCCCTTCTCCTTCTCGGGCACCGGATCAGGCATAAGCGCGCGGAGGGGGCCAGGCAGTGCAGGACGGAGGGTGCGCGGGATGGGGCCTGGGAGGAGGAACGGGGGTACAGTCGGACTTGATTGGACAGGACACCCGACAGGACACAGGACTCTGTCGACGGCAGCGTGGCACCCAAATTCCGGAGGGCATGCGGGTTGCATAGGTCGGGACAGACAGGATACAAGGGTACCCTCAATGTGGCATGGTCGACCTACAGTCAACCCGCATAGTAAGGGTGAACGACTTTTGGCCGCTTTCGCTGGCCGTGTCCCGCTCGCAAAGTGTCGACATGGCCTTCCAAGACCCTTGCATCCTTCTCGTGCGTCCTGACTATCGGGTGGATTGTGCCAATAGGGGCCGACTGTAGGAGGCCGCCGCTGGGGGCACTACATCCCTCCTAGAAATCAGACACAAGTTTTTCTCGCGACGTGGCGGCTCCCCAAGGGCCCCAACATGTCCATGTTCACGCCGAAAGTGGCGACTGCAAACGCAAACATCTGACCCCGTGGGGCGCGTCTCGCGCGTCGACCCACATCAAAAAACCTGCGGTCGCTTTCGAGGATGGATGTAATTTCAGATGCTGCCACGAGGGCTCGTGGCACGTGCGTCCATACTATACAGTTTGATTGTGCCAGTCGGGGCCGACTGTAGGAGGCCGCCGGTGGGTCACTCTGGGGCAGCGATGAGGGGGGAATTCGCATTGGGGGGGGGACGCAGGCGACGGCTGGTTTCGCCGACGGCTGGTTTCGCCCGGCTGGTTTCGCCTGGCTGGTTTTGCCGCCAGCGAAACCAGCTGCCGTCGGCGAAACCAGCCTCCGTCGGCGAAACTAGCTGCCGTCGGCGAAGCTGCCCGACCCGACCCGCCCGCCAGGGTCCGCCCGCCCGACCCGACCCGCCCGTTGGGGTTCGCGCGCGCTTGGTCGAGCGTGCCCCACACTTTGATGTCCCGCCCGCCTGGCCCGACACGCCCGTTAGGTTCCGCCCGCCCGACCCGACCCGACCCGCCCGCTTGGGTCCGCCCGCCTGACACGACCCGCCCGTTGGGGTTCGCGCGTGCCCAGTCGAGCGTGCCCCACACTTTGATGCCCCGCCCGCCCGGCCCGACCCCCCTGCTCGGGTCCGCCCGCCCGACCCGACCCGACCCGCCCGCTGGGGTCCTCCCGCCCGACACGACCCGCCCGTTGGGGTTCGCGCGTGCTCGGTCGAGCGTGCCACACACTGTCATGTCCCGCCCTCCCGATCCGACCCGCCCGTTAGGTTCCGCCGGCCCGACCCGACCCGACCCGCTAGGGTCCGCCCGCCCGACCTGACCCGCCCGACGACGACGACGACGACGACGACGGCGACGCCGACGGCGACGCCGACGGCGACGACGGCGTCGGCGAAACCAGTGCCGGCGAAACCAGCGCTGGCGAAGCCAGCGCCAGCGAAAGCAGCCACCGGCGAAACCAGCCGGGCGAAACCAGCGGGGCGAAACTAGTGCTGGCGAAACCAGCCGTCGGCGAAACCAGCCGTCGGCGAAACCAGCGGAGCGAAACCAGCGCCGGCGAAACCAGCGCCAGCGAAACCAGCTCACGCCGAGGATGCATCGGCCCCCCAATCACTCGTTGATCGCCGATAGGGGCTCAATAGCCTCAACCTGCCTAGTAACATGCGGATTCACTATCGGGAGCCTATCGCCGATCTATCGGCGATGTATCGCCGATTCCAGGTCGATGTTCCCCACCCCTTTGCCAGTCCCCCTATCGTTGACCCTCAGGTGAGAAGGCCAAAATCGTTACCAGACTATTTCTTTGCTCGTCTTGTGTGTTCCTCTTGTAGAGGGACATGCCCGACTCTTCAAGCCAGGCCCAGGGGAGAGGCTGAGACGGTCGCTCCTGGCACTGGATGAGAAGGCATGGGCAATCGCCGCGGGGAAAACGGGCCCCGAGGGAAACGGGTCCTGAGGTTTTTCGCACCGCTTTGGGGCTCTCGCGGCCCTTCCCAGGCTCCGGGGCTGTCAGAACACGACCAAGGATGAGGATCTCGTCCTGGGGGAAGGCCCCAGGGGCCAGGACCCGTTTTCCTCAGGACCCATTTCCCCCGTGCTAAGACCATGAGGAGACAGTCAGGAGGTGGAGGAGTAGGAGGAAGAGCAGGTGGAACAGGTCGATGATGATGATGATGATGATGATGATGATGATGATGACGATGACGATGATGATGATGATGATGATGATGATGATGGTGGTGGTGGTGGTGGTGATGATGCTGCTGCTGCTGCTGATGATGATGATGATGATTATGCTGATGATGATGATGATGATGATGATGGTGGTGGTGGTGTTGGTGGTGATGATGATTGATGGTGATGCTGGTGGTGGTGGTGATAATGATGATGATGATGATGATGATGATGCTGCTGCTGCTGCTGCTGCTGATGATGATGATGATGATGATGATGATGATGATGATGATGATGATGATGATGATGGTGATGGTGGTGGTGGTGGTGGTGGTGGTCGGGTGGGGGTGGGGATGGTGGTGGTGGTGGTGGTGGTGGTAGTGGTTGTGATTGGTGGTTGTGGTGATGATGATGATGCTGCTGATGCTGATGATGATGATGATGATGATGATGATGATGATGCTGATGATGATGATGCTGATGCTGCTGATGATGATGATGATGATGATGATGATGATGATGATGATGATGAGGACGAGGAGGAGGATGACGAGGATGAGGAAGAGGAGGAGGAAGAGGAGGAGGAGGAGGAAGAGGAGGAGGAGAAGGAGGAGGAGGATCGCGAATACGATTGCGCGGAGCAGGACGAGTAGTAGAAGGGGGAGGATGGGGATGAGATGAGCAGGAGGCGGGAGGATGAGGAGGACGAGCACGAAGAGGATAAGTGATCATAATTATGGGGGAGGTGGCGGCGGCAGCAGATGTCAGCAAACGGCAGAAGGCAGGACCGAAACCAGGAAATGAGGAGAGGAGGAAAGCACGTAGGGTGACGGTCATGGTGATGACGGTTTTGATGATAGTAGTAGTGGCTATGATGACACATGCGGTCGGCGGTGGCTATGATGG